TTTGCTTTGCTCGGTTATGTGTTTGCTTAGAAATAACGCAAGTCTCAACAGGCAGATAAGTATATGCGTTTATATATATACATATATATATATGTATGTAAGCGAGAGTGTCTGTTTGTGCGCTTATGCATACACGTGTTTTGTGGCTTAATAATAAGTAATGACGTTTCCTATCGTGATTAAGACGATAATTTATTTGACATATTAGATCAACAGACATCGTAGGCAGACTGCAACTCTTCATTCCGACTAAAGATTCTCTATTGCGTATCTGGTTCATGTTCATCACATTTCCTGCATAACTGATTTATCCATTGAGTCTGTATTGAAATCTTATTGTGGTTTGTCATTGCTGGTTGTTTTAAAGGCTTTTAGTGATTGATAATTACATTATTAACTGCGAGGAGCTATTAAATGCAGGCGTTCAATAAACATGGAAATGACATCGTACAGCAAACATGCATTGCATGTTCGGGTTGTTTAATAAATTACAGACTTTATGTTATGCATTTTACGCAGCAAAATAGTGCACTTAATTAAATTGAAAGTACAGTGCTGATGCATAGAATAGATAAATTCGCGTAGACGTACGTGCTGCGAGTGAATTTCAAAGAAATTCCTATAGTTATCGATTGGCAATAAAACCATTTAACAATGGCCTCACCTTTAAGTAAATATAGATAACGACATTAACTACAACATGGCATGCAGTTATTTGATGCCAAATTCGCGTAAATGACGGAAATCGATAGTGTTTAATAAAGATAATGTGAAGCGGGCTCGAAAAAGTTTTTAAACAAGCTACAGAGTACATGATGCGCGCCTTCGAAAATTCGCTATAGATCTTTCGCCTATGTTATCTTGTGATTTTTTGTATTTATTTTATTAAAAAACCAAATACACATATAGTCGGGCAAGAACGACCATTAGATATCCTACATCACTCCGCTTAAGTAATAATGCACCAAAAATTATACATTATTCTTATGTAACTGGATAATTCTCGTGAAAGCTTGCATACCGGAGGATATTCAAACGTGAAAGTGGGCAACATGTAGCAAAGTTAGCTTTCTTGTTAAAGCTTTTATTATTCTCCTGTTGATTCTATTACAAGCAATCACAAATTAGGCTTTGTCGCTTTCATGAAAGCCCGTATAAATGGTGCAGTCAAAGAATAGATCAATATGATCCATATTTTCTATGGTTGATTCACTAAAGATAAATTTTCATCATAAAATATTAAAGATTGTACTTTTTCGGCATATGGGGGCTCATTATTCGTTAGAACGTTGGGATGCAAAATATAGACATACATTTTCCGAATTGCGTAAGGTCAAATTTTATGTCGTTTTATTATTATTAGAAAATTTTTCTACAAGAAGGACTGAGAATGATGCCGTTTTACCGTTCCGTAGAAACGGTTGTATGGCATTTGGTCCAAGAATTACCCCATGCAATCCAAAGCTTTCATACTTTCAGCCGATATACTATTTTTAGGCGATTTTTGTCGCGAAATTCTAAAAATTGCAAAATTTCTATAAAGACTTATGTAGCACAAAAAGTGTTCCGGTCGGAACCTTTCCCGATAGTTGTCGTGCTTGCACTAAAACACGTCAGTGTACCAAATTTACGGTTGAATCCAGGTATACTTGGAAAGATAAGCTTAGACCCCGACAGAGAAGACTGACGGTCAGACAAGCTTAGAATCCAGGATCACTTTCTAGGTCGACCATTATAATAAAAGTTAGATCTATCTCAAGTCTTTAGTCAAGTTACAACCGTCCGCTTAACACACTCTGTACCGCAAGTGGTGAACGGTACAATGACTTTATTTGTACATAGAATGTTAGATTCGAATAATTTATTACTTTTTCCTCTAAGGAAGGAATAACCAGAACGTCCATTGTGGATAAAGAGAGATGACTTCAACAGATAAACAAACTTGTAAAAAGAATTTTATATTTTTCCAGGCAGTAGGTAGTAGGCGTTGTGGTGATCAGGGAAGATTGTAGAAAGAAAAGGGGAAATATTGATTAATAATTTAAGGGAGAATATCCGCGAATATCTTTGGTGAAAATAAACGCATTCTTGGAAGTTTGATATTATTTGCTGCTATGGGATTAAGCACGTTATCCATCATCATTTTTAAATGACTTTCTTAATGTTGTTCGGAAACTCATTTCGTTTTTTTTTGCTGAAATTAAAAGATCAAGACATTTGCCCTGATCATGAACCCCTCGAAATTCGATCAATATAATTAGTTAGCGATCTCACGAGTTTTTATTCCACGGTTGGCATCAATTTACGCTTTTGTTTTAGCGCTTTTGGATTCAATAGTGCTACCTAAACGTCGTGCATATTCAACGGAATGAACGCATATGCTCTCTATACACAACTGATGATTTTTTTTCTTGCTTGGCCAGAAGTAAAGAAGTAAAATATACTCAATTATTGCTTTCAACTTTTCATATTTGGCAGAGCACCAGGCAAAAACCGTTGCTTGGAGTCAAATAAACCGTTTCACAAAGAAGCCCCGTTGTTGTTAACTTAAAACTCAGACTCTAGCATGTTGCTCGATGAATAGCTGACATTCTCTCATCCTGCCATTTAAAGCAAATCAGATCTCCTCCGGCCAAGATCAACAAAGTGCAAATGTTCCTTGATCATTGGCATTCCTGGATCATTGGCATGGCACACGACATTAATATCTGTACTATCTCCGTATTACGATAAAGTCGAGTCAAGTCTTCTTTACAGGGATACTAACAGTTAATTAAATGTAATTAAATTGAATTGTTTTTAAACATTTCTGCATAGATTCAATGCTAAAACTTCGTCTATGCTTTAAGTACAACAACTAGTACTGAAATCTTTAAATTATTAAGGACGTAAGTATGTTCCTTATCACTCACTTATCGTATGAGGCACTTAGAACATTTTAAGATTTTGGTAAAGTATACGCCAACGAGACATCCACTATTGTCCTTTGGAAAGACCATTCAAGTGTAAACAAATGTCTATATTTGTACGTATGTGTGCGGTAAAGGCAGACGGTATATAAATTTATAAAAAACCGGTACTTTAAGTGTTTTATATCAAAAAAACAAAACTAAAAAATAAAAAACAACTTTGGAAAAAAATGCAACTACAAATATTATCATGAACGCTTGCTTACTTATACGAAAATGTGTGTAAATCCGCAAAAAAGAAGAAAAAACACAACAGAGAACAAGTACTGCTTACTAACAAACCAACCAGACCTTTAGACTCTTGTCTGCCAGTATACACACGCTGACAAGGCTTAGACTGATAAGTAAACATTTTAATGAAACCTAACCCAACATATGAACATAATATATTTATATGTGTGTACATAAATGTGTGCGTTCATGTATGCTCTTGTGTAAATATGTTTGTGTACAAATGAGTTTTGGGTTTGCATAGTCATACAAAATCATTGGGTCATTTATTTTGTCCACCCGAAAAGCAAGAGTTGATGATATTTTGCATAGAGCAGTGGCATGAAGAGATAAAGAAGCGACACTATTGTGTGTTCATTTCATTTAGTATTTCTGCGAGTGTCAGCAGATGGTAAGCAACACAATGATAAGCAAAATATCACTCAAAAGTTTACATAATGGTTACTGCTTAGTAGTCGTCATAGTGATGGTGTCTCTCTGTCTGTCTGTCTGTCTGTCTCTTTACCGGTCTAATGCTATCGTTTACACAAGACTTTGTTCTGTGTGATAATAACTTAATTTTTCAGTAAAACAACGGAAATCACTATAGGTTTACTGGCAGATGCCCACACACCCACACAAACACATTTGTACAGATACGTGTAAGTCAAATAATATATTAAATGAGTTCATTAGTTGTTTACATTGTACTAGTAGCACTGCCATCAGCATCAGCATCAACGTCAGCATCAGCTGCAATCATCATTCAAACGTTTCATAAGAGATGCTTTCAAGTTTGTTAACTAAATTTAAAATTCTCTTTCTCTCGCAATGCTTTTAATAATTATTTGGTAGATATATTCTATGAAATTGTTAATGGAAAGCGTATCTTTTCTTTTAACTCATCGAGTGCAACTCTAGTTTGATTGAGTTATGACGCCGGGGTTTAATTGAATTTTGAAAACTTTATTGATTACATGCAAATCCTTTTCTTTGTTTCAGGACATGTGAAAGTTAATTAAACTTATATGGAAAATGAAATAAAAGTGAAATAAATTAAGAAAGTCATGCTCCGCTCTAAGGCAAATCTCTTGAAAATAATAAATTGCAAATACAATGTAGTTTACTAAAAATGGGCGTTTTAGTCGGTAGATATGCCTTGTTATTCCTTTATTCCATTAGCCAGTCTGCTGAAATATTTATATGACTGGTGGTCACAGTTTTTTGTCTATCGCAGCCTTGTTTGTGAGCGAATTACACTCATTTTTCCAACCGGATTTTTCGTACATGTTTGTATAGAATTTGAGACACCTACCGGCTATGAACTGAAAATTATAGTTTTTCACATATTGGTACAGTGATTTGAGTTGGAACGCGCCCATTTTTCAACCTGGTATACGAATAATGGTGATTGATATTAACGAAAAGTGTATATGCAGAGTCTCAACTTTGTATCTAAACCTTTGCGAGGGTTCAACAATAGATAATAGAAGGGCGGAGGGACAGAAGTTTAATTAAATTAAAAATATATATATAAAATGTGTAATGTCTGTGATACGTATTTAAGTTGCGGTGTTACGAAAGAAAGAACCAACATAGTAGGGCATCCTTTAGCGGTTGGTATAAAAGAAATTTTGTAAACTTTCTGTGATGCACATAAGAACAATGAAATGTTATTGATTGTATATGTGTATACATGGATTAGAGAAACTCTCTTCACAAAATTCATTTTTCCCTCTAACCGAATTTTTGTTTGACGCTCTAAGTAAAATGTATACTGCTCCTACTCTATTCTTTCTTCTTCTTTCTATTTCTTTCTAGTTCGTTTAAATTGGGGCTGAAATGATGCATTCCCTAGATGAACTGTTACCACCGCTGCGCAACCAACGATTTTCAATTAAAGGCCGCCATTATCATCCCTACAGTCATAGCAGCTATCTAACATCCCTGTTGGCTGTAGCGTTTAGCATAGCCTTGCTTAGCAACGGCTGCGAGGCTGCCGTCCATCAAGTTTTCACTTACAGTAATACCTCAACAATATTGGGTCAATTGGTGACCTCCAGCACTTTAGTATGGGAAACATATGATCTCAAAGACCCCAAACAATTGCAATATGCCGTTGAAGGTGGCAAATATATAACTGAAGATGAACATTATCCGATCTATGTGTGCCGTGTTGCAATAGACGGAGTTCCAACCAGTGGCCACACCGAGAAAATCGCCCAATCACATGTTTGCGTAGCAGCTCATTACAAGAATACAAAATACAAGAATTTCGACGTTCTTGTAAATAAGGGACATTTGGGTAAAATTTCTTGGCGCTATTGGCGTAAATTTAATGCCGGTGTCCCGGTGGGTGCCATACGTATTGGGAATTTGGAAGATGCATACATAGCTCGTCACAAAGTTGTTCATCAGGTAAATGAACAAAATGGTGAACATTGGGGTGCCGATTATCATTTAGGACGTTTGGATCCCGTGGGCTTGGGTAAGATTAAAGTGATGGCAAACGAACGTGAAAAAGATTTCGATGAAGGGGAAGTATTGGTCGAAACCGAACCGTATCGTTACGAATTGAAAGATATACGCTTGGATCACATACGTTTGGATTTGAAAGAAAATTTAACAGAGTTGGGTGAGATTTGCACATAACAGACAGTGAGAGAGATCTTTTTAAGTTTTTATAAAAATTTGCAGCTTCTGGTATTTTGGAGAATCGTGGCGACAAGTACAGTCTGGTAGAATCGGTATTAACTTATAGTTTTGATCATGTCCAATACTGGGGCTCCCATGAGGGCGTCGCTCGTGGTTTGCCTACGAGAGTGTATGAGAAAGACTCAACTGTACCGGCCGAGATCAATTGGGCCTTAAGACATAGCGAGAAACGTTCGGAAACCAAATCGGTGCATACCAAACTATGGCCGGGTACAGCTCTTAACGTTACTCTAAAGGGCAATTATGTAACTTTAGAAGCTCCTTACACAGCGAAATTATTTGCATTTTATTATGGCAGTGATGATAGCGTGTCAAGGAAAATAACATCAGAGGTAAGGGATTGCAAGAAGTGTTCTTTATAAAATTTAAAAATAACTGTATATTGCAATGTATTGAAGGTACGTAAGTCTTATCTTAAAGAAGTTAAACTGGAGTTTAGTCCTGTGTATTGGTTGGAGAATGGTACCGTCATACCCACTACTACGACCTCTACCACTTCCACGACTACGCATGCCACCACCACAAGTACCGATCAGCCATTGCCTTTACATGAACCACCTGTAGTGCAAATGAAAAACATGGGTCCCGTGCACTCAGGTCCCGATTCGTTGGAAAAATCGATGCTTGACTCACCGGCCAGTAATGAAATACCACAAAATAAGCCTGAAAACTTGGCGGAAAAACATCAAAAGCCAGCCTTAGCTGGCATAGGTATAAAATCCGTAGCCTCGTTGAGACAAATGGCTTTCCCCTATTATTATTTAACAGTGGCAACTCTATGCTTAACTCTATTTTATTTAAAAAACATTTAGAATGATTTTAACTAAATTATAAAAAAGGAAATATTCCAAAATAATATAAATTTATAAACTTGAATACACTCACAGACACACAAATCCATACGTACGTACATACATACTTACACAAAATACATTTATAATTGACTTTATGCAAGAATAATATTAATTAGCCGAGTATTTAGCATTTATAAATAATTTCTTGTTGTTGTACCTGTTTGTAGACCCGTCTTGAAAAGAGATGACGAGTAAACATAATACTCCGGATTGAAATTCATGTATAAAGTTATCATTAAATTAAAAATTAACTGCGATTGAAATTATATGAACGGGTTAAGTAAGAATATATAAAATATGATAAAAAAGACATAAAATTTTATTTTATAATTAATTTTTTTTTATTTTTATTAATCAATTAATTCATAAAACAAATATGCTAAAGATCTATAAAGTTATTAAAGTAATATAAACATTCCTTTAAGCTCTCTCAATATTATAAGTTATAGAAAACAATTTAAGTTTTGATTACTTTTTATCCCTATTTTCGTATACACATGCATCCATCACCACCACCACCACCAAACTATAAGTATATACCAAATTTTCCCATTTCATAGCCAAATATCGAGAATAACTTCCAGCGGTAAACTTCCAAGCTACATTAATGAAGTCCGTCTATCTGTCTGCCAGTTCGATCATTCGTTTATTCCAGATGATGGCACAGATTGTAGATTAAAATTTAGATTGTGGTAGTTGTGGGTCGTGGGTGTTCAAAATTCGTTTGGAGTTGAATATAATTTTCTTAAGTATTTTTTTTTTCTTTTATTATTATTGTTTTTATTTTTTTATATGTATATTATTTTTTTGAACAAATACAAATAAATACAAATATTTTGTATATGATATTGATAACATTTTTATTCTACATTTTTTTGGTTTTCTTTATACGCATTCATACAAACCTCCTCACGTGTGAAGAATAAACTCCTTTAAGATAAATTTTTAGATCATGCAATGAGGGAGACTTCGAGGTGAAATCGTTCTCAAGCTTACTTTCAACTTATTTTTCCTTTTTTTTGCCAAATTCAAAGTCTTGAAAACAGGCACAGATCTCAACACCCGCATTCACAAAATCCCATAAAATATATGTTTGCCTATGTTGCCAATTCAGATTTTATTAGATTTAACTCAGTAGCGCTCCTAGCGAATTTGCTATCAACTTGTTTAAGTATATAATCTGGGAATTTTTCTGCTCAAATGGCTTAAGAGGGAAGACGGTAAGAGTAATGCTTTAAGGAATGCTTTAATTCAACAACGTCTGCGGTCCGGCCGTTAGGAAAATGGTCACTGATCAGAGATTAGTGTACAACGAACAAATGTTATAATCTGTTTTAAACGGTTGGCGGACAGGTAACAGCTTCTGGGAAATATCTCATATTATGCTCACTTTAAAAATCGCCGGGTACGGTTAGCACATCTAACTTTCGTTCTTCTCCATAGCGAACCTGTTTGCATATATAAAAAAGCTCGCTTTTCTCCAACTTTCCTGAAATTCTTTTCCAACTCTAACCGAGTTTAGAAGTGAGCTGTATGTGTATTGTAAATTTTTTTAGGGGACAAACGACGGGTTTCGCAAATACTTTGATATTTAACCGTCACATTGCGTCTATAGAAATTTTTATTTTATTCATTTCGTGATTATATTTAATTGCATTTAAGCTTTCTTTCTTGGTTGCTTATGAATAAAAAAAATCAAATTTTTCTTTTAGGTTTCAGTTATTTTTTAAACTTGGAAGAAATTTCTTATGTCGACAACAAGTTGGGCGAACTTGAGTCGAATACGAAAACTGCAAAACAACATTATCTCACCAAAGGCTGTAGACAATTCCTAAAGACAAAGAGACAACTGTTATATTACGAAAATCTTCGGAAAATCTCGTTTTTGTTAGCAGGCTAAGAGTGGCCACATAAGCATTATCCGTCATTGCACACAACGTAATTTCTATCTAGTCTATCTGAGGAGACTGCTGCGCTTTGAAAATAAAATAAAACAAAAATGCGATCCAAAGATTCATTCATTGTTAGGTAACACGTTACATAATCTTGATTAGTTTGACAATCTGAGACTGAGAATTTGTCCGTGTGTGGCATTCTAATGATACTACTACTGTAACATTCTATAGGCAGTAGTAAAGAGTTGTCAGGTAAAAATTTTGTGCGCTAACCGTTGAGCATAGAATAATTCATTTGACCATTAAATAGTTCAATATCTGTCGGCAATGTCCGTTTGCTATCTTTTTGGATGATGGGTCGAGTGGTTTGGAATTAAAGGAAAAGTATCTGAAGCCCTTAAAAAGCAACTATGTGCAGAATGGCAATTTAAATGTCATGATCGTCAAGTTTTCGTGCAAAGAAGAGGAGCCGCTTAGGCGCAGTTTAGGTTTAGATGCACATGACAGCACACGGCTGTCTCTTACTTTCTGAAATTCATTGCGGATAACACGGCAGCGTCAGAAGCCTTGCAACCAATACCTTAAGATAGCGATCGCTTTACATCGACTGCATATGTAGTCTGTCACTCTTTCCAAACACACTCACAAACTCTTATCGATTGCCCGACTTCCCATCCCTTTTCTCTGCGTCCCTTCTTGTAGAAAATAATGACGCGCATGTATAACTAACTACTTTAGTTGAAAATGATAATTGAAATGAAGTTAAAGTGATGTAATGATAGAAAGCATTTTTATATAATTTTGATTTATATGTCGTTTCTTCAACTATTACATCACAGAAACCATCATCCATTACTCAATTTACTTCCGTTGCTAAGATCTTCCTCTTCTTTCAGTTTCCGATTTCTAACGGTAAATCGTTAATTAAATATAAAAAAGAAAAGAAAGTCAATGTGAAAATTTAACCCTCACCATGAAGTGAAATAGCTATGAACATTGCAGTACAGGCCCACACACGCTTACATGCAAATGAATGTTATCTGATACTTACGTTAAACCATATCGTCTGGTTAACTTAATTATAATAGCAAATGTTGTTTTAGTTACGGTTCCGTACCTACTCTGTTTTGCTGCACTTGAAAGAATAAAATAATTAGAAAAACCGGTAGAGGATAATAATAAAATAACAACAACCACAAAAAAAAAACCGGTTGGTTTCTCATTGTTTATGAGACAATAATTTAAAATGCATTAAATGTTTTGAAAAAATTTTCAAAAACGAAAACGGTTTGTGACAAATTTTCTGTTTCTTTTCCATAATTCAAAATTCACTAAGCACAAACAAGTGAACGAAGTAATTTACTAGACGCATAATCTACGCGAATGATTTATTTGATTTTGATGATCATTATTTTTCAACTTTTTGCTTAAAATCTGTCGCAAAGATAAAACGTCAGTTCATATAGAAAAAAAAAAAAAAATTGCAAATAACTCTTCACTGCCATCGTAAACGTGAAACACCTTCTTTCATTATAGGTGTATTAACCGATTCGGGGGCGTTCATACGCGACTTTTTGATGGCTTCAGAGACGCGATCATAGAACTGGGACTTTTCCTTTATTTCAGCACAACAACAGAGTTCGAAGATGGAAGTAACCTGCAACTAAAAATATGTTAAAGGAAACGAAAACCAAAAAAATATCCTCGTCCTCCTCCTTCTACAGTTTAAGAATTGCACCCACCAACTGTTAATTTGAAATTTGATATGATGACGCACCGTAGGGTTCTAGAGATACGATGTAGAAAGCGTGCTCATCGGTGCGCTACTACGTTTTCAATTAATAAAACACGATTTGAAGTTAACTCGCAAGGCTTACACAGCTTATACGGCTTTTTTAGTTTTTTTTTTTTATTTTTTTATTTTTTTATTTCTTTTTTATATTAAGTTATTTTACTTTATTTTATTACGTATCATACTTCTATCTACCCTACATACAATTAATTATTTGCTTTAAATTCAGTCAAGCGTTCATTAAATGTATGTAGCGAAAAACTTTTATGCTTTAGTGATTTTTTTTCTTTTTTTTTGCATTTCAACGACAACATCAGCAACAAGTTTAACTGCATTCTTTTAACCATAATTTATGAAAATTTATTCATATTTTAAGGTTTTTTTTTTTGTTTTGTTTCTTACAATGATTGTTATCTTGTCTCGCACTTTTTGCTAAAGTGTTAAAAGCAAGGGCGGAAAATGTGTCGAATTAAATAAATTTCATATTTTATTGTATAAATGAATACCATAATGCTTTCAAATTTTCTTTTTTTTCCTTTTGCGATTTTCATCAAAGTTAATCATAATATTGTAATTAGTGTAAAGGTATGCTGCGCTTTTCATTTCACAAATAATGCCTAAAAATGCTATCTGATAAACGTTTGCCTCAATGTATATATAAATAAAGAATGTCTAGCAATATGAGAGCTTTTCTATTTTGTACAATCATCACTCCTGCCTGTCTGTTTTACACTATATACTTATGAATAAATTAATTAAATATTTTAGTTGCCTGACTATTTCGTTATTATTTGCAAAATTATCGTAAAATTAAAAAATATTTATTATTACATGTATTAACAGTGTAATAAATGTATGTACATTTATAGAAATATAAGATAATATTATAACAAACATATATATATATATATATATATACATATATACCTTAACTCACGTTTAAGTCATTGCTTACTAACCGTCTCTTAATGCCAGTTAAGCAAATGTACCCACCCGTAGACATTTGTTTCTCATTATAACTAACCGAAGTTGCGAATGCAAATCCATGATCAATTTTTTTTAAAACATTATTAATTTTCCCCTTTGTTCTGTACGTCATGTTGTGTACAGATGTTAAGAGGTAATAAGCATGTGTTTTGCTCTTAACGCACTAATCAATGATGGATGTTATTCAATTGAATGACAATATATTTATACTCAAAAAAAAACGAGGAACAGGAACCATTTATAAAAAAATTATAATAATTTGTTTTTGAGTTAACCCAACAAGGTAAGGAAGCATTTGAAAACTTGGGTGCTTCGTTGTAGAGAAATTTCTTCTT